CAAGTAGCACACTTACATAATGATATCCAGAAAAGCCGATTCACAGAATCCAAAAAGATGGCCGATAGTCAGATGCATGGACCATGTGGGTAACAAGTGCTATGCGAGGTATCCTCATTCCTAACGCGTTTCGTGGCAAGAGCACATTATCAAAGGGCAGGGAATATCTTTATTCAGGGAATATCCGATTGCCTCTTGTGGATCAGGAAGGAATTATTTTCCCTGCACGAGCAAATTAGATCATGCTTTGCTGGGGTTTTTTTTGCCTTCCTCTGGATCAACTGTGGCTATAGGATTATAACTTTTTTTTTTTTTAATGGTTGAACTGGATGGACTTTTGTCTTTTTTCAGCCAGACTAACTATGTAACTATGTATGTGAGCACTTAACTGTTCACTGCAGGGGTAGCCCCATAGCAAAGGAGCATTTTTACTCTCCCTGAAGTTCAGCTTTAAGGTCCATTACTCAATACTCTATTAGGAAATATATAACAGAAAATTATTTGCTACAGTCAATAAATAATGAGTTTTTTCTGCTAAGCCAAGAGGTAGCAAAGTACTGGTCCATTAGTCCAGAAACTCTTTGTTTACAAAGGAAAAGCTTTTTGAAATAAAAGTTTCCTGTTGCCATGGTTTTGACATGCATACATTAAAAGCTTTGGCCGCATTGTATCGGCCTCTAATGGCTGTATCATGTTGATTTCACTTAAAAAAACAAGTGGCAAGCTTTTAGATGTAATGAGGAAAAAAGTCGTCTGATTCAGGCATGTGAAAATGCTCCAAGTGTTTTTGAAGATATAACATTAAATGGTAGAAAATATTAAAGCATATCTAAACACTAAAACAAACATTTGCTTTATTGCAGCTTACCAGTACCAGGCTGAACTGTTGTTTTTATTTTATTTGTTTGTTTTTGTATTTTCATCTGGTGACTTTGCCAGTAACATACTTCCCGGGTGACAACGCTTAGTACTATATCCATGGAAAAAACAGAGTTGTCATCCTAGGCTGCTTCTGATTTAAACTACAAACATCTCCCTCTACTCATAGTCATTATGGGGTGTCTTGTAGGTCACAGGAGATAACTGGGAAGGCTGATAAGGTGGTTTTGCTATTACATTTCAGTGCACAGGAAGGTTCAAGGTGCATAAGATTTCTGGAAAGATCAACAACTGTTTTCTGTACTTGTAGAGACATTACAAAAGAAAATTTAAAAAAGAAACAAAGGCAACCACCACCACTGATGACTGTTACATTTTTCCTGGGTTTAAATATACTTTACTTAGAAATTTTATATATATATATATATATATATACACACACACACACACACACAGTATTTGCACACACATAATATATATATAGTATTCACATATCAGTGGCATGTAAAGATATTATGAATATTGTGCTGCATTCTTTATTCAAGAGTTTATTACAAAACCAGAGTGGCTTGTAAACATTTGTATTATGTGCTTTCACATTGTAGCCTATGAAACTGCTGCTTGCTAGGCTATTGAATAAAATACATCACTATGAAGGGCATCATGTCATAGCCCTTGTATAGGCTGCTACTCTTTGCATATCTAAACCACACATAGATTACATTTCATTTTGGGAAACCCCAGGTAAGCTTAATAAAATGTATTGTAAAAGTGACATAATTAAGAACATAAACTGTAGCTACTTACAATTAAAACTGATCAATAACATAACTGAAGATGTTATATATTGTCTGCTCAACCACTTTTATTGGGAGATAGCAGTGAAACATATGGGAGTGGCATATCCCTCCTCCTAAGTGTGTCAGAAACCCTACTCTATCAGGGAAAGAATTAAACTTTATGGGCATTCCTTTCAATCTGCCAATGAGTATGTTAAACATAGTGGAGAAAATGGATGGTGTTAATTTCCCCTTAAACACAACTACCCAACCCCCCTTGAAGAAAAAAAAATATCCAATGATCCCACCCTGTTCCTGATCTACCTGATTAATTGTTGGACAGTTTAAACAAAAACAGTAAACATCACAACAAAATTTAAAAAGTTGTTGCATTTGTAAAGATATCTTAACTGCTTAGAGACCTATTTTAAAAAAGTGTTTTCCTTTTCGGACAATTTATAATCTGCTTTTAAAACACTTTTTTCCCTCCAGTTTCTTCCTTCCTTTCATTCTGCTGATTAGGAGAGAGGTTAATGCCTGGTACACATGGTAAGTCTGAAGAACTCTAGAACTGGTCGCTGTACTAACGATGTGATTTTAGTTTTTATGGAGTCACCTAAGGAGATGTTTAGGTATCATAGTCTGGCACTGTTCTATGGGCGTATGCAATTTTAAAGTATGGAGTGTTAGTTATCTATTTACTCGGAGTCACATCATCTTTTATTTTGCATATATTGCACCAAAAAGTGGATATTATATTGTGTGTATGTGCATTAAAATTCAAAAAACTGCTGCAAAAATACTGAGTGATTTTTAAAAAATGCAAAACCCACCACTTTATTCTCTAAGGCCTCTGCTAAATATACACTGTATGTATATACACTATATTGCCAATAGTATTGGGACACCCCTCCAAATCATTGGATTCAGGTATTCCAATCACCTCCATGGCCTCAAGTGTATAAAATCTAAGCACCTAGGCATGCAGACTGCTTCTACAAACATTTGAGAAATAATGGGTTGACCTCAGGAGCTCAGTGAATTCAAGTGTGGTACCGTCATAGGTTGCCATCTGTGCAATAAGTCCATCCATAAAATTTCCTTGCTACTAAATATTCCATGATCAACTGTTCATGCTATTATAACAAAGTAAAAGAAACTGGGAACAACAACAACTCAGCCATGTAAAATGACAGAGTGGGGTCAGCGCATGCTGAAATGCACAGTGAGCAGAAGTCGCCAACTGTCTGCAGAGTCAATAGCTAAAGACCTCCAAACTACGTGTGGCCTTCAGATTAGCACAACAGTGCATAGAGAGCTTCATGGAATGGGTTTCCTTGGCCAAGCAGCTGCATCCAAGCCTTACATCACCAAGTGCAATGCACACCACCACTGAACTCTAGAACAGTGGAGACGTATTCTCTAGAATACTGAATCATGCTTTTCTGTTTCGAAATTCGATGGACGTGTCTGAGTTTGGCGATTGCCAGAAGAATGGTACATGCCTGACTGCATTGTGCCAAGTGTAAGGTTTGGTGGGGGGGATTATGGCGTGAAGTTGTTTTTCAGGGATTGGATTGGCCCCTTAGTTCCAGTGAACGGAACTCTTAAGGCGTCAGCATACCAAGACATGTTGGACATGTATGAACAAGTCTGGGGTGGAGGAACTTGACTGGCCTGCACAGAGTTCTGAGCTCAATCCAACAGAATACCTTTGGGATGAATTAGAGCGGAGACTGTGAGCCAGGCCTTCTTGTCTGACATCAGTGGATGACCGCCTAACCTCACAAATGCGCTTCTGGAAGAATGGTCAAACATTCCCACAGACACACTCCTAAACGTTGTGGACAGCCTTCCCAGAAGAGTCAAAGCTAATGAGGCTGCAAAGGGTGGACCAACTCAATATTGAACCCTACGTACTAACACTGGGATGCCATTAACGTTCATGTGCGTGTAAAGGCAGATGTCCCAATACTTTTGGCAATATAGTGCATCTACATGTCTGTGTGTGTGTATATATATATATATATATATATATATATATATATATATATATATATATACAGGCAATCCTCAGTTTACAAATGCCTCCCTTAACGTAATTTTCAGTTTACAAATGAAAACCCATTAAAAATAATGACTCGGTTTATAAATTTTTTTCGCAATACGAACGGATTATTTGGTTTTCAATGCATTTACAAATTTTTTTTTTAATCATGTCCCTGTACAATACTATGCCTTTAAAGTGCACTTTATAAAGAGTTTTGAGCAGATAAAACTTTTTTTGACTTTTTTCTAACCTTCGGAACAGATTAATTGGTTTTCAATGCATTTTTGAATTAACTTTTATTCATGTCCCTGTACAGTATTTATGCTTTTAAAGTGCACTTTATAAAGCGTTTTGAACAGATAAAATCCTTTTTTTTTTACTTTTGTCTGACCTCCGGAACGGATTATTGGATTTTCAATTCATTCCTATGGGAAACCGCGTTTTAGTTTATGAATATTTCGCAATATGAAAAGTCCTACAGAACGAATTAAATTCACAAACCGAGGTATGCCTGTATACATATACACACAGTGCTCAGCATAAATGAGTACACCCTAACAGATTTGTCAGAAAACCTTTACTTTTATTTCAGAATCAACATTTTCTATGGGACACTATACTACAAAATACTCAAATGTGGACCATTGATTGCAAACAAGATTTGTTAATTTGCACACCCGAAAAATATTTTTCCTAACAAATTCACTCAAGACCATGTTGCAAAAATTAATACCCCGCAAAGTCTTGGGAGCAAAGCTAAATTTTAGACAACAAAATCCTAATTAACTACAGGTGAGTCTAATTATTCAATAAACAGGTGTCCAGCAGACAGTTGATTATAAAAGGGCATTACTTAAAGAAAACATCTTCCCATTTCATGCTGTCAGTAATGGCACCACATGGAAGAGAAATGTCACCAGGCCTGAGAAGGAAAATAATTTCTTTACACAAGAAGGGTGAAGGCTACAAGATCAGCAAAGCTTTACTTATCAGTCAGAATACTGTAGAAAAAGTTATACAAAAATTTTACCAAGATGGAACTGCAATCAGAGACGTCGAGGCTGTCCACGGAAGTTAATATCTCGACAGGAGCTTCTTCTGATGAGAAGGTTTGAAGAAAATCACCATGCAAGTTCATTGCAGTTAGCTAAAGATGTAGAAAGCCAACCTGGGATGATTGGTTCCTGTGACACAATACGGCATACACCGCAGAGCAATGGCATGCATGGGTGTCATCCACAAAGGAAGCCTCTCCTAAAGTCCATGCACAAAAAAGCCTAGGATTTGCCAGGGCCCATGCTGAAAAAGAAGACAACTGGGACTCTATACTCTGGAGTGATGAGACCAAGATAAATGTTTTGAGAACTGATGGCTTCAAAACTGTATGGTGTTGCATAGGTAAGGAGTACAAAGAAAAATCCATGGTGCCTACAATGAAACGTGGTGGCAGTGTCCTCCTGTGGGCTGCATGAGTGCTGCTGGTGTCAGGGAGCTGAATTTCATTGATGGTATCATGAATTCACAGATGTACTGTTCTATATTGAAAGAGAAGATGCTACCATCACTCCGTGCCCTTAGTTGTTGTGCACTTTTCCAACATGACAATGATCCAAAACGCACATCTAAGGCCACTATTGCATTTCTGAAAAACATGGTGAAAGTGATTCAGTGGCCAGGTATGTCTTCTGATCTGAGCCCAATCGAACACCTATGGGGAATTCTGAAAAGATAAGTTGAGCATCACTCTCCATTCAGTATCCAGGCTCTAAAATGGGTCATTCTTGAACAATGGAAAAAGATAGATGGTGCAATATGTTGCCAACTTGTTCATTCCATGCCTAAAAGACTTGTCTGTCCTTACAAATCATGGAGGTCATACAAAATACTAGATGTAGTAGTTTTTGTTGTGGGGTGTATTCATTTTTACATCAACTAATTTGAGTAAAACTGAAGATTTTGTAATCTAAGTTATATTATTTAAAGTGTTACTAAACCCACAACAGTAAAATCAGTCTGTATATGCAGTAAAGCTTGCTTGTTATACTCACTGTAGAAACCAGTGGAAGGGGTTAATTCTCTGAATTGTGTAAAAAGGCTGTTTGGTACTGTGTTCTCTGCCCCCCCTTTTGTTCAAATGTCCAACTGATAAGACAGACTAAACCTGTAGTCACATGCACATGTTCAGTTTTGTGTTTACTGCTAGAGAGGTTTTTTTTTCTTGGGAGAATGCATGTGAGTAGCACAGGGCCAATCAGCACTGTCCAGACAGAGGGTCAGGGGTTCTGCATCCACCTAGAGCAGAAAGAAAAACTCCTACAAGCTTTAACCAGTGCTATGCTGAAGTCTCAAGACTGCTCTAACTGCTGATCAGAAAAGGTATTTAGCAGTTTATATTTACTAAAATAATTGCATTTTCATGTTCTGTGTACTGTGGGATACCAGATATAGTAAACGCAGGGCCCTGGGTTTAGTAACACTTTCATCTTACTTTCTTGCAATGAACTAAACAAATTTTTTATTTCTGTTTTGACAACATTTTGGAAATTGTTCTTGTGTTCACTGAGATATTGATTGAAATCTTACTTTTCAAAAGGGATGTACAGTTCTGAGCACTGTATCTATATATAGAAATATATATATATATATATATATATATATATATATATATATATATAAAATGTTTGAGGGTTCTAAGTAATTTTCTAGCAAAAAAGTATGATTTTTACACCTAGGAGAGAAATGTCATAATTGGCCCAGTAGGTATGTAGTTAAAAGCAGTTTCCTGCTCACTGAGCATGCAGTTAATGGGGTTGATATAGAGGGTGGAGGAGTAAGTCAGGATGATCAGGTAAGAAGCTGGGTTACTGTAGTAAGAGATAGTGGTAGGGGTTCACAAAAAAAGAAAGTCCAGTCTTGTGTTCGAGCTCCCAAAAAAGTTGGGTGAAGATATGCAGGCAATGAACCCAGAGGTGGCAGCCCTGGATGCTACTGATACAGCCAACAGCCAGAGATCAGAACAGGACTTGAGGTAAAATCTTTATGCAAAAGACAGTTTGCACCTAAATAGAAGAGGTCTATGGGAAAATTGGGGGAGTATTTACACTAGGATTGAGGGGGGAGAAAGAGGTAGAATACATTGAACCAGATAATCCAGACAGGGGTCAAGCAATAACAGAGGGTGTAATGTAGGAACAGGGGGCGGGCTATGGCAAGTGATAGAGTTTCCTGTTATAAAAATGGCATTTACAGCATTGTTTGTACTAAAATAGACAACATGGTTAATATAAGCACAAAATGCAACAATGGTTTCAATTGTTTGTTCATGCCAGAAATCTGACAATCAAAATAGGAGAGATTGAAATTTTGGCGCACAAAGAGCACTATAATTTAAATGGTATAGTTGAATCTTAGCTTCATTCAGCATATTATTTGGCTGGTTATTTTCCTGACTATGCTCTCTTTGGATTAGACAGGGTTAAACAAAAATGTGAGAAGTGATCCAAGTGTGACCTGTGAGTGTTAAGGAGGACTTTGTTGATGGAGAGTTTGATGGTGCTGAGACATTTTGAGTAGAGTTGTAAATGGGTATTTCAACTGCAAAGATAATTACTGAGTGTTTGTTACACACCCTTCAGTGTTAATGAGGTAGACATTAACCTCCTTACACAGATAGAGAGAATGAAGAAAAAAAAATAAAAAATATAGATAGATAGATATAGAATATAGATAATATGCAAAAAGGGGTTCAAGACAGCAAAAAATTTAAAACAAATGGTAGGTTGCAAAAGAGTAGGACAAACACCCAAAACTTCTTTAAATATAGTGATAGGGAAAAGATTAGGTCTGACGATAAAGATGTCTTACAGGATAACTCATTGTTGGTGATTGGGGACATAAAGTCAAATGTAGTAAATACCTTATTCAGCTCTGTATACAGAGGAAAATGATGGAGCTTAAATGGGGATAGTATTGCCACAGCCTCAAATGAACAACAATGGCTCAAAATTGATATGGTAAAAAAAGGTCAGACAAAATAAAAGGTGAATAAAGTACATTGACATGTCCTAAATGATCTGAGTTGTGTTGTTTCAAAATCTTCACTTTTTTTGAGACTATTTAACCACTTGCCAACCACGCTATAGCCAAATGACAGCTACAGCGCGGTTGTCCAGTCCTGAGAGGGCATCACATGACGTCCTCCCAGAACGTGCCCTCCCACATTCCCCCAGCGATCTCCATGATTGCTGATCATGTGATGTGGTAAAAGGCCAATCACAGCGGCCTTTTACCACGTGATCAGCCATGTCCAATGACACAGCAGATCACCGGCAAATGCAGTTGCCGGTTATCAGCTGCACTTTCCTCGCGCTGTTACAGCATGAGGAAAGTACTGCCAATAACCGTCAATTGTCAGAGGATGATCAGTGCCCTGATGATCAGTGCCCAGCAGTGCCACCCACCAGTGCCGCCCACCTGTGCCCAGCAGTGCCGTCCATCAGTCCCAGCAGTGCCATCCACCTGTGCCTAGTAGTGCCACCCACCTGTGCCCTGTAGTGCCACCCACCAGTGCCCAACAGTACCCCCCATCAGTACCACCAATCAGTGCTGCCCAGCAGTGCCACCCATCAGTGCCCAGCAGTGCCGACAGTCAGTGCTACCCATCAGTGCAGCCCATCAGTGCCACCTATCAGTGCCCATCCGTGCTACCCATCAGTGCTCATCATTGTTGCATATTAGTGCCAGCTCATTAGTGCCGCCTCATCAATGCCAGCTCATCAGTGCCGACTATCAGTGCCAATCAGTGCCGACTATCAGTGCCAATCAGTGCTGCCTATCTGTGCCACCTCATCAGTGCCTCCTATCAGTGCCCATCAGTGCTGCCTATCAGTGCTGCCTCATCAATGCACATCAGTGAAGGAGAAAAATTACCTGTTTGGAAAATTTTATAATAGAAACAAAGAAAACATTTTTTTTTCAAATTTTTTGCTCTTTTTTTTGTTTAAGAAGAGAAATGTGTTGGCTATGGTTAAAAGGGATCAAATCTTTACAAATTAGCCACAGATCAGTCAGTGTGATTTTTATAGCTTCCTAAATACTGTGGATGAGATCCCAACATATTTGTGTAGGCAGAAAGCACATTGCACCAGCTTTACTGCAAGTAAACTGCTAAATTCCATAGGAGATAAAAGCTAAAGTGCTGGATGGTGCACTGAGTGGTAATATTGTTTAAGCCAGTATGTGCTCAGAGAAGAATGATCAGAAAGCAAGAAGAAGAAGAGCGTACAGAGAAGAGAAACCAAATTGATAAGAAGCATGGGGGACATCAACTATGAGGTTTAGTAACCGCTCAGTGTCTGCCACCTCTGTCTGCCTATCCCTCCACTGGCTTCTGAATGCCCAGTGAATTAAATTTAAAATACTAACAACAACATACAAAGTCATTCACAACTCTACCCCAAACTACATCACCAATTTTGTCTCTTAATAGCACCCAAGCCGTCCTCTTGCCTACTCTTAAGACCTCCTGTTCTCAAGCTCCCTTGTCTCCTCCTCCCATGCTCGTCTCCAGGACTTCTCTAGAGCCTCTGTCATCCTCAGGAACTGTCTGGCTATCTCCTACTCTGGTTGCCTTTAGGTGATATCTAAAAACTCTTATCTGCAGGGAAGCCTATCAAATCTCTATCTAACCAAACTTTTGTCACTTTCATCAGCTCATACCCCACAGTTATAACCTTTTGTACTACTTGCCCTACCCTATTAGATTGTAAGATCTTATGAGCAGGGCCCTCTTAAACCTCTTGTATTTTATTGTATTGTAACTGTACTGTCTCCCTTTATATAGTAAAGCGCTGTGCAAATTGTTGGTGCTATATACATCCTGCATAATAATAATAATAAGGAAATCTTGGCTGAATTGAATTTGTTTTCTATTAAGATGCATTTAGGGGAGGATATATCCACTATGTATAAATACATAAATGGTCCATAGAGTGAATTGGTGAAAATGTATTCACTTTAAGGTCATTAGAAAAGGACAAGGGGGCCCTCTTTGTGACTGGTAGAAAATATATTTCCTCCACATATGGAGGTGATTTCCCCACAGTCGGCTTTAGGGGAGAGGAAAGAGTGCTGACAATGGATTGGATGCCTGGATGGTGATGTCACCCATAGACTTCCTTGGAGGAATCTGTTGTCAGCTGTCCTTCCTCTCCCCTGGATCTTCTGGTGAGAACCGATAAAATGACCAGACCACAGCACCCTGAGAATAGGTAAGCATAGACAACTTCCTTCTACAGGGTAGTTAGAATATGAGTTGGGAGGGGGATGGAAACCCAACATTTCATATTCCTGATATATGCTATACCATGTACTTGTATGAAAAAAACTATCCTGTTCTCTTTGTAATGCTTCCTTTGTATGCAATCCCTGGTGTTCCTGCCGGTCACTTTGCATTCGTATTAAAAAAAACTGACCACACCATGCATGAGAGCCCACTGTGGTCAGTGTTCTAGCTATATTGGGGAACTCATTGCTTTCTCCTGCAATGATGAGACTTGTCCTGACACACATCCCTTGCATAGTCGTTCAATGGGAAGTTCAGTGTGCTTCTACTTCTTTTCCCCTAGGTTCTTTGCCTTCCTCTGGA